GCACACAGCGAACAGGTCTTGCACTGCACAGCCTCTATGCTCCACGCCTCCACGCTGTTGCTCTTCCAATTCACACATCTTCATCTGGTTCTCCCATCTTTCCGGGTAGTTCGCTCTTGGCTTCTGAAAGGGCTGAGACTTCGACTTCAGCATCTTGCTCTCCAGTGTTTCTAGAAGTCGCTACAAGTCTTTGACTCCTCCGTCCCCGTTGACTCCTCCGTCGGACTCGACTCTCCACTGTGGACTCCAAGCGGCCAGCCCCAGCGCCAGCCATACCACCGGACACGAGCCGCGGCAGCCGCTGCCTTTCGGCGCCGGAGCCGCTGCGCGGCGAAGAGTCCCCGGGGCCTGGCGGCGTGGCGAGTCGCAGGAAGCAGGAGAATTCTTGTTCCGTTCGTAGCTTCTGGTTACTAGTAACTTCTGCCAGGAGCCTAGTACAGTAGCTTCTTGTTCCTATATATACTTTGGGATGCTCATCCCGGGTAAGCTCCAAGTAGTACCTTCGACTGGAAGAGGATGGACTGGGGAGGGTTTTGGGAGGTTCCAAATCCCTACATTGCTTTGTTGCTGGCGGAGTCCGCTGAAACACGTGGCCCGGATGAGGCCGCTCCAAAACGCTAGAAAGATGTAGCGGTTTTGGATGGTTTTGCATGGTTTTGCAGATCGGTTTTGTTAACCAAAGGCACCAGTCTGGCTGTGTTGGATCTGGGTCAGACTGGGTCTTCTACTCCTCCAACAAAAACATCCACCCCCCCCGGCGAGGAGCAATGCTGGCGGGTCGGGCCAGTCGACTGGCAGTCGGTGGGCACCAGGGCACCAGCCAGCAAACACTGACTGACCTGTGCGACTGACCTGTAGGGTGGCAGGCTGGTGGCTGGATCCAAAGGTCGCTTCTTTTCAGGCGACACTTTCCTCACCTACGAGCCTCGCCAAAAGCCGCATCAGTCAGCTGAAAGAGATTCCCGGAGGATTTGTTGGGCTTTGTTAGTTAAGGAGACCCCGCAGGGTCAGGGAGGCCCCTTAGATGGCAGGCGGCGCCCCCGAGACAAAACACCTTTCCTGTGCCATGTTTTTCAGCCACTTCTTCGGTCGGTCGCGCATGGCGCTACTTCTCCCATGAAGAGAACAACTGGTGGCGAGCCGATGGCTGAGTCACCGATCGGCTGCGGCCACCACCCGTGGCTTCCCCACCCGTTCCAACACACGAACAAAAGCTTTGCATCTAACGAATCCATTTCTGGCTAAGGAACTGCGACTTTTCGTCCAATCTTCTGACTATGCAGGTACAAGACCTCATTTGGCAAACATTGCACCTGACTTTCCCAACCCAAATGCAACCTCATCGACCCATTAGGCTCTGTTAGGCTCTATTGAGTACACATCCCTGCGCGGCTGAAAACGAAGTGGGCCACCAGCAAAACCATTCCTAGCCATGTTAATAAAACTATGCTAAACATGGCTGTCACATTTCTGTTCTTTTCAGCTGCTCCAAAAGAGTAGCTACTGACCAAATCCACAAAGGACTCGGCCCTCTTTGAAGTCTTGGACCCATGGAGAAATTGCCGCCCGAAATTTGAAGAACGGTCGTGTCGATTGGGAAAAATAACAACGGTTTTTGGCTCTCATATGAGAACCGTTTGATTGGGAAAAAAGCACAACGGTGTTTCGGCTCTCATTCCATCCTTCGATGAGGAGAAACTTAAACACTAGTGTGCCAATGGAAAAAGGCACGGGTCAGGAAGCAGGTAATTCCAAGCGAATCTGGCCTTTTGCCAAACGCTTGGACGGTAGATTCTAGATATAAGTGTGGACGGCTCAAAAAAGGGTATACCTGCAGTGCAAGGCTTCTCATGTGCAGGAAAAGAAAAACTGAACACCGGTTCGTGCACGGCATTCGATCATGTGAACAGTCATGCTTTTTTTCGAGCCAAGCCTGTCAGATTCACTTCAAGAACTCAGGTCAGTCTCTGAAATCGAGGGACCCCAGAACTTGCCAGGATCGAAGCCATCAATCCTAAAACTTCCAAGTGTCCGGAAAGCTGGACCCTCGAGTCTCTGTGGCAGGGGGGGTCCCTCGAGTCTCTGGAGATTCAGCCGAGGATTTATTGCCCTAAGCTCGTTGGCTCAGACTTCAGCCGGCAACGACGGGAAAATCATCGAGGTGGGCGACGCAGTGATTGGCGAGATTGGATCAGGACGAATCTGAGTGTCCATTCGAGTTGACCTTTCGGGAGGTTGCCGCTAAGCTCTCAAAGAGAGATGAAAGATCGGAAGACCCAGCAAGCTGAAAGTTGAAAGAAGCGAATTTATCAGAAAGAGCTTAATTCAACAGAAATTGAATCCTTCCACTTCTTCTGCAGTGCATTCCCAGCAAAAATGCACATTTACACCAAGTTGAGTTCTCTCCAATGTCCATCCCGCATTTTTTCCCCGCAACGCGGAGTATTGCCCAAAAGTATCTAAGAAATGATCCATACATTTCTCCAATTTGACAACGCATCAAAGGACTTGCCCAACATTTGTTATACTTATGGGATCGTGTGGGTGCTTGAAGAATCCAGGTTGCATCCTCTGTGGATGTTTTGTCAGGGCTCAAGACATGACACAAGTGGACTCCGGAACTCCAGTTCCTCGCAACGTCCAACCCAGGGCGGCCCAGAGTGGGGTGTAACGTATTAGTCCTTGACCCGCCCATATGTCGCATTGATACAACCAGTCCTTGGAACATGCAGAACAGAAACACCCAGTGCAAGATGTGCGAGAGCAGGAGCAGAAAAAAGAACACGTTTCATCATCAGTTGTTTACTTTGTAACAAGAGCGGCTCAATGCGGCTCAATCTGCCGGTGTGTTTCTGAGATCTAGGCGCACAAACGTGTCACGTGCTGGGTCCAACCACCGCCAGTCAGATTGCGCGGCCCTGTCGGCGCGAGTCGTTAACACCGCCCGAAACGAACAAAGCAACCCATGCATCCTGGGGCTTTAGTAGCAGTTGAATGCGATTGATACTTGATACGCATTTCCACAGGTGGTTCAATACATGTAACCGGGATCAACTGGCGCATAGATGGGTGGGAACACGCTTCCCCCGTATCGATCTATTCGGAATCCGTCTGGATGGGGATGACCCCTCCGTCGATCTATGCTGCTAGGATTTGAGGGAGAGTTCTGCTACTGGTTCCAGGATTCATTCAGATTCATCCCATCAAGAGTAATTACAGTAGTAACGAGTACTTGAAGCTTACCAGGGTGAGTTTCGGCTTGGACTAGCTTGCGCTCTTCCTCCGCTGCGTTGTTCACCCATGTTCCACTCCACGGACTGATCCATCGGTTTTCCTCCCCATCGCCATTCCCTCAACAGGCCGAAACCCACGGCTTCGACCATTCCCAGATGCATCCCATTTTGGGGGGTACATGTAGTCGAGTCACTTAAGGTCATATAATGTCATATATTTGGGGTATGACATGATGGTACATGTCTGTTGACTATTCCATGAATGGATGTTCTGGGATTAAGAAAGTTGAGTGGACCAGGCTTTTGTTGTCAAAATCCTTCATATAAACACAAGGGTTCTTCGGACAAGGCTATTATATAAACATAATCAAGCAGCATACTTAAAATCCAACGGAACACATAATATCAAAACACAATCCGATCTTCTTTCACTATGCCTCATCTTCACTATGCCACATCATTGGTCAACCGGGGTACCCTTCTCACCAAAAGCTTTGAGTTTTGATTGGCATATCAGTCAAACTACTTTGGAGTTGGTGGATTCTTGACTTGTTTTGGAAGGTTTTCTGTCTGTTTCTCAGAAAACCATGTCAGCTCCAACGGTGAGAATCACACGGCTGGAACCTGAAGAAATAGCTTAAAACTAATTAGACACACAACTCGTTGTTCTGAAAAAAGAAAACACACACTTGCAGATCAGCAAGTACATGCTTGGGTCTATTTGCTGGGGTCTATTTGTGGGTGTCATGATGTACGTGTGACTTCGTCTCGAAACCAGTCATGTTCGGAACAACCGCAAATCCGGTCACCGAGGTCAAAAGCTGGAAACCCTTCGGTCAGAAGACATGTTGATGGCCAAAGCTGAAAGAGGGTGGTCAAACGGATTTGCTGAAGTAACCTGGAACAAATAACACATATATTATATTCCCCAGAAGGGAATTTATAACAAATCACCTTAAGCAACACCAGGGTATTTAATGTCTTCAAAACCAGGATGCCTGGATTGCTTGAAAGACATCACTCGCGCAGGAACAAACTGGTGCTTGGTCCGCTTGGCCGATGGTCTTGGTGGTCTTAATCCGGTGTCCCTCATCCGGAAGACGACTAAGCTATACTGGAAGCTACGGACGGCCCTGAGTGCTGTCTGAAGAAATTAATTCAAACAGCAGGAGACCTGGGCATGCCAATATATCCGGCTAGCAGTGGGTGCATCAACCATCAAACATGATCTACACCTTCCAGGAATCCATCTTTCCGTGCTTGTTTTCCAAAAGAAACACCGGAAGATGATGTTTCACCTCTTACCGGGTCGGCGTGTGTCCGTCGGGCTGCCTGGGACACCAAGTTGTTGGAGCACTCTGAACCCTCAATGTGACACAAGATTGACTAAACAAACCAAACACATATTTAAACATATATATATATATGTATATATATATATATTAAGCAAACAAAAGCAACACATTAATCATTAAAGCACATACTATCCCCAGTGGATCCTAATTACCACCATCTCAGGAACCAAGGGGCCCTCGTTCGGTCTACGCTTTGGTCTTTGGAACGACGGATCGGTCCTTTTCCCCATGGAACCCGGCCTTCGCCGACCGAACGGTGAATCAAACGGACCTGGTCAGAGTGAATTGACCTGTCAGCCCCCCATCTGAAGTTGTGAACAATCATGTTCAAATAACATCAACTATAACCACATTCACTACATTAATCACGTAATTTTCCTATGTTACAGTAACTAGTTTGGTGCTTCCTGCAATCGTTTTCTCTTCAGATGCGACCATCGCTCCATGGAAGCGTGTCAGATGCTTCCACCACCGCGTGGCGTGGTGTTTTTCGAGCGCCACTACGCTCCTATGCTGGGCGATTGTGGAGGCCATTCAGCCCAAGGCATTCAAGATGTTGTAGCCACTGAGGGAGGGTTCCTGGCCGTGAAGAAGTCCGAAGGATTTTCTTCAGGGCTTGACACTTGCGCTGTGAGTGGTGAGGCTTGGCACTGTGTTCTTTCCTCTCGTGGTGGTGCTGGAAGGTTTCCCACCCCTTGCTGAGACACATTTATTTTACCAGATCAAGCATCTGAAACAAATTAGCAACAGTAAACTCTAGGCAACCTCTTGGCAAGTTGATCCGAGGCCACTTTTGATGAATCCATATGAATCCCTACCCGACCCCCATGTCCATATTGGACACCTGGGCGCCCGTGGTGATGATGTTGTCGTTGGTGACGGCCTTCCACATCGGTATTGCGACGACAAGAGCAACCATGCTCAGTCTCTTAAGATCTGTTAAAGTATACCACTATAGATACCACTAGCAATTAAGCTCTTATCAAGCCAGGAGCCAGGAGTATGCTCAATTCTCTTAAGTTAGAGCCATGCCAGAAGCATCCATAGGCTTGCATTCTGCAGCTGAGGTACACTGCTAGGCTGCTCGGCTTCACCTTCATGCCCCAACCATCGCCCATTCCCCTCCTTCCCAGCCTCGAAAGCTGCTTTCAAGAAATCGGATGGCCTCAGCTTTCGCAGCAAAACAGTGCCGGTGACGCAAACGGCACCGGACTGCCCATGGACCCGGGTGGTCGTCTGCAAAAAACTCCACCGTGTGGTCGGAGGTCCATTTCACTTCGGGCCTGGGGGGAGACATGTTCCCTGCAGCATATCCTAGCCCAGAATGTGAAGGCGTTCTAAACACAATGTGATTGATCAATCAATGCGTTGCGTCTGCATCAAATCGTGTTCACCAAATAAGTCAGGTGTTGTTTCTTTTGTTTGCAGCCCCTGCTTTGCAATTTTGACCCGTCTTGTAGCTACGAAAACGGTGCTCTTGAGAGGGGTGTTCCACATCCACAAGTTGGGTAGGATGAAACCAAATGAAATGGATGGTTGGATGGTCCTGGTAGCGTATTTATTTCGAGTTTTTGCGAGGCAAGACTGCACAGGACAGGTCCAAATCCTATGGAGCACCACTGGCTGTGGTTGATTTATGTCGATTTCATACATGACGTCATATGTCAATGGTTCACATGACAAACATAGATTCTAGATCAGATATGGTATGTCGATTTATGTAATGAATCATAATTATATACCATATGTCAATATATAGTTTCACATGATTTCATCAGATTTCAGTGGTTCAAATGGTAGAAGGTTGAGACCACCTCTTGCGTTCGGAACCCATCCTGCCTCCAGCTCCCATCGTCCTCCGACCTTCTGTGCTTTTGAACGCCCGGATCGGTGAGAAAAGCAATCGAAAAGGGACCAAACAAAGTGACAAACTCTACACTCAATGGATAGGTTTAGGGGAGATGTCAGCTGGTGTCAAAAAATTGTTTTCCAGGCCAAATATAGCCAGGTGACCAGTCTGGAGTCATCTTTTGTCAAAGGAAACACTGGTCACCTGCTACCAGTAGGATGTCAGACTGGGTCCAGGGCTATTGTTGACATGACCAGTGGCCTACAAACACAAGCGAGCAGCAAGCATTGGTCTTCCTGGATTCTGCGGCACAGATGAAGCTCTGCAGATTAGTCTTTCTTAGGAGCAGTTTCAGCAGTTTTAGTTCATGAACCACCTTTTCGATCCGTGTTCCAGATCCAGGAACCCCACGGGTCAGCAGGTCATTCATGCAAACATGAATCAACCCACCAAGTACTTGGTCTTCACGGCAATCTCCACGGCAATCCACGGGGATCAACAACAACTTTTCAGGTGGATATCCTCCATAAATGGGGCCTTCATGGGCCTTACAATCTCAGAGGAACCACCACAGAAAGGAACATCCTTTTTGCAACCCTTCTAAGAAACTCTACCTGTAGACCTGGAACCCTTGTCAACATAAGTATATTTGGATGCCGGCATACCACCCAAATCATCCCGGTGAAGCCCAGATTCGGCATTGCCATGCTAGGAAACAGCTGTTCCCAATTATATAGTTTTACTGTCTTTCAGAGGGTTCCACATTGATGCAGGATTTCGTTAAGCCACAATGTCACACTTATCACATGGCTACAGAACATGGAACCCCAAGGAAAAGGGTCTTCGTCTTCCAACCGGCGACGTCAGCGTGTTCAGAAGTTCAATGCTTGAGTATCTTGAGTGTTCCATGTTCCATGGAACCTTTATGAACCGCATTTGACATGTCGCGGCCGGCCTCAGTGTTGGCGTCGCAAGTGTCTTGGTGGACACCTGCCGCAAGTGCGCTGGCGCTGGCGCTGGGCTTTCGATCGAAGGCCCCAAGAATCTCCGGCAAATACCAGGGGTGTTGCCTCACGATTTCCGTTCAAAAATCCAACCCCAGAGCTATAGATAGCTATAGAAGCTACTAATAACAAGGAACTTGTTTCTTCGCACCTTTGAACCGGTGTCCCAGCCCGGCCCGGTCGTGGAAGCACGAGGCATGGCGAGGCTGTCTGATGGGACGGACCCCAGCGACGACATCAGGTGAATTCGGAGTTGATGGGTTTTTGGACCCTAAACCATTGAGTGGTTTGCCTATTAAGTGAGGGGATCATGGGGCACAAATGGTCAGGTGCCCCTCCTCCATGAAGTTGAGGCACGAATGTCCTGTAAAGGTGCTGGGAGCACGTCCCTTTTCAGGAATCATATGGTGTCATGCATGGTCCCATGCCAGTTTCATGCCACGAAGGAAAAACATACTTTCAGCACAGCAGACTCATGTCCCATCCCATCTTGTCGCCTTCAGGAAATCTTGAAAGCCCATCCGATCCAACAAGGGGGCACCTCGGTCGCTGGCGTTTCGCGTAAAACGCGCCGTCACATTCGGCTGCATCGAGAAAAATCAACAAAAAGGGAAAAACAACGCGAGAATGCCTTTGTAAACTCCAGTTCTGGGAGACAACATGAGCCATGCTGAAAACCTTGATAGATTCCTAGGTCGTAAGAACTGCCTTACGCGAAAACTTACGCAGCGCTTACGCGACCGCAGTTTCAGCTTACGCGGGGGTGTTGCTTACGCCGCTGCTTACGCCACCTTACGCCATTGCAGGCTTTGCTTACGCAGCATCGATATGACATAACCTGGAAATGTCTGGCTTACGCCAAAGCTTACGCAGAGCTTACGCGACCGCAGTTTTAGCTTACGCGGGGGGAGGTTTTCAGCGTGGCTCACATGAGAAAACAGTGATATGGTTGGAAGATCTTGGGTCCGGGACTTCCAAAATAAACACAGAAACGGATCAGTTTTGGTCCTCTCTCACTGAAGTCATGGATCTTAACAAAAAAGAAAAACCGTCCATCTCTCACTCCTAAGGAGTCGGACCAAAACATGTAAAAAATAACGGATCATTGTTGGGGTGGAGCACCTTTTTCAGTGCTGCTTCCGCATGCGTCCGCATGCGACTGAGAGACCTTCCAACCCGCTGGCGCGAACCCGCCGGACCCTTCGGATCGATTCGACACAGACGTGGTGCCCGGGTGGGTAGACGAGAGGAGGGGAGGGTCGGGTCGACACAGACGTGGCATCCAAGAGGTGTGGTATGACGTGGTTGCCCAAAAAAGATAAAGTTGTGGAAACATCTGAGGATAGTGGTTGGTAGATGTTGGTGGCTGGGCGAGGTCGCCCCTAGCTGGGTGTTACAAAGGTTGCTTGGCGAGTCGTTTTGGCCCCGAAACCGGACGATCTACACAGGCTCTGAGAAAGATATCACATGGATGGCAGGAAGGATGGCATGACATGGCATGGTTCACTTCACGAAAGATGACCGAACCGACCGAACGGCTTCGGTTCCTCCACTTCCATGTGTTCTGTCCCAGGAGAAAAAGCATCGGTGTGTAGCTCAGTCCTAGGGAAACCGACCCCGTCTCGAGCCTCCTGGGTTCGGTTCGGACAAAACCACCCGTCTACTCACATCAACCCGTCATTTCTACTCACTGGGGCGATGGGGTAGACACCCCAGTGTATTAGTACTTATAGATGTACACACCCGCATGCTATATACCAGAAAGATTTAAGGGGTGGTTAATGGACACCCCTGAACTGCTAAAGGGGCTATAAATCGACTCCTCTGAGCGTCCCCACAGGACACCAGGCACTGATTCAGACCCTCCACGACGATTCCGACGTGCTCGTCGAGCTTGCTCTCGATCTGCGGAAACACGGCAGTGAAGATCTCGCTGCGAGTATGACACTTTGAAGATCTCAAACCCAAACACGACTAATGGGACTGCCATAGATGCCGCCCCATTGACCCCCCAGTCAACCACCCCAATATAGGCATATGGAGTGTCTGGGAAAAGTAAAAATCAAGTAAAACACATAGTTAGAAACCCTTAGTCATGGATGATGATGGATGTAACATGATGTAACCCAGGGAAGTTGATCCTTTGGAAAATAGCTGGATGTAGCTTGACAAGAAACTCACGTCGGGCAAGGACCCGGTTTCGGATTTCTAGTCTTTTTCACTGGGTTAGGACAACACCCTATGTTTGAGCCAGGGCAATTCATTGTCATGCGAAATTTCAACTTCAGCAATTTACCGATAGGACGACACACAATGAAGCTTGCCACAAGGATCTGCGGGTCAAAACCCCTGGGAATGCTACTATGTAACAACAGCAAGCCTCAAATTGATCTGCAGTTTCCACTTCCCGCATCCCAAAACGGTTCCCTCACATTCCCTAACAAGTCTTCCCAGCTGGCTGGAGCCATCAAACAGCTTGTGTTTCTTCGCGAATGTTATGCTTCCATCAACCGAACACCCGTCTCTGGAAATGACTGGGCCAAAAATGAAACCCTATAGGGCTCCAAGCACCTTCTGAGAAGGTGTTTGGGGTGGGTTTGGAGGGTCCAATATCTTCTTAGGAGGTACGACTGGAGGTTCAAGGAAAACATTCGATTCCATACCCCAAACGAGCGGATATGAACCATCCAACAGCCCGCAGGGCACGTGCCTTTTCACAGGCACATCGATTTAAGGTGGCTGCAAAGAGGTAGGACAAGGCATTCACCAACGTGGACACAGACCAATCCTTAGGAAGCGCAGGGAATTTTGCTCCAAGTGAGACTGTGTGCGATAATTCTGCGGGTCTTTCCATGAGTGGTGGACATTCCCCATGTCCATCGAACATGGGTCAAGTCTAGGACCTCAGTGTGGACCTTCCCAAGGCCAAGCACAAATGGTGGGGTCCAGCGGCCGCGGTCTTCCACGACGCAGTGGAAGACGCGGCCGTCTCCGCTGCGGAGACCGTCTCGGTGCGATGGCCATCGCCGTCCAAACATCCTGGAGACCCGAACTGGCCGTCCAAACATCCAATTTACGCATCATCACCTGGAGGGTGGAATGGCCAATAGAATTCTTGTGAGAACATGAGTATCATTGGCTCTCAAAACAACTGACAGACAAACGCAAATCGGTATTTTTGGAGATTGGCACCTATATGCCCCTAGAAACTGGGTCTTGCGTCACAAGTTAAAGGTCTAAGGTGAGACACACCAGTTCTGGAGCATGGCGGGTTCCGCTATTTTGACATTTCACTTGAACAACGTTCAGTTCCTTGGGATCTACGTTCGCAAACCAAGACGTTTTGGCCTTTCTCTGAGATTCGGTTTCGTGCACATAGAGGTCCAGATTTTCCTGAGCCGCACACATAACAGGCAAACCCACAAAGGAGTGTGTCCACCAAAAACCGTTGTGGCTTTGGAAGATGAGAATCAGCTCTTCCACCTGGCTTTCCATCTGTGAAGCACATACTCTCACGACGATTTCGTATCAGCTACAAAACGCAATTGCTGGTGAGACAATGGGTGATGACTGGAGTTGACTGGTCTTCTTCCCATCTGGCTTTTGAAAAGGCTCGTATTGCAACCGATTCTTCCCCTTCGCTTGGCCGATTCTTCCGTTTCACTCACCGATGGTGCTTGTTTGGTCGATGGCGCTGGCTGTCGGGGGCCCCAAGAAAAACAACTCACCAGTGGCATAGACTGAACCTCGTCTGACTCCTTCAGCTTCCCTGAACAAACAACTTACTACCAGAAACAAGAAACTACTAGGTTGGAGGCCATCGCTAGTAGGTTGGAGGCCATTACTACCACTGGTAAGAAGAAACTGCTAGCAACAATTTTATGTAACTAATTGCAAACTTAACCTCTTTCCACCTGCTATATATCACCCGAAGAACATGCAGCATATATATATATATTATACAAATAGATACAAATAGGCCAATAGGTTATCCACTGACCGGGTAGGCCGTAGACCCCCCAAATGAACACATTCAAACCAACGACTATAGCGCTACTGTATAGTAGTGTCACTGTCTTGTGCGAAAAGGATTGCGTCAATTTAGATGACCTCTGGCTACCTTTTGAAAACGGATTCCACGAGTAGTGCAGCACCGTCTCCGAGACCACCTGGCCTACACCTCAACAGCCTGATGGTCTGATGAACATCCAAGGCTGTCAACAGCAGAGTGTTTTTCCCTGCTCCCTGATAGAACATGTCTTGTAATTGTATAGAACTGTGAAACTCTCAACTTAGGGATCTTTTTTAGGGGTCTTGCTCCCCTGTAGACATCTTGTTCAGCTTGCCTACTTCAACAAAAACACAATCTTTTGGGGACCAAGACCGCACCAAGACGCCATCTTGATCGCTCGGCTGCTCATGACCAAGCGTGGTGGCTTCTGGTCTGCAGCCCATCGGAAGGCCAAGTCCAAGGACATCTGCTCCTTGGTCGAAGGCGAAGGCTGAAGGCAAACCGCAAAAGCTGTGCTTTCCGAAGATCTGAGGTCATGAATCTGTGAAGCGGCTAAGCGTTCGGCGAGTTTTGCGTGGATTTGCTTGTTCGGAAGCCTGGAAATACCAATACATATTCTCCAAAGGGGGATTTACCATAAGGCTCATCTGGCCTGAGCCGGGTGTCCTCTAAATAGCAAGTGGGTGTCCAAATTTCTACCCGTCCGGTAAACTCCAAAGCACAAGCTGGCAGCTTTTTCCACGGACTCGCAGCATTTGCTGCTATTTGCAAACAATCAGCACTTGCATGCATCACGTGGCATCCCTTCAAAACCATAATGATAGCAAATAGCACCAAGTTCAATTACCAGGCTCCATGCGCACATTGCAACCAAGCCAGCAGGTCAAAATGTTGAATCTTCGCTTATGCTATTTTTCACTTTGATCTTCCATGTGACGCGATAGTGTCCCCCCGCTACCACATCGCCTCAACAAGCCGCGGTTCTAAGAATCACAAAGCTTCAAGGCAACCTTCAACGGACGCGACCGTGTTATATACTCGAACAACTCTCACCTCGTCCTAAAGCCCCTCCAGAAGCTTAAAGCTTCAAGAAGCACACACCGCAAACTCAAACAGGTTGTGGCTGCCAGTAAACTGGCACACCGGCTGCCAGCTAGCTGGCAGTCAAATAGCCTACCAAGGTTAAGCGCACCCAGCTCAAAACCCTGGCCCTTCTGCTTTGGTCTTTGTTGGAAACTGAGATGTCCTTACTGAACCAACACAATTTAACAGTAAAAGCGTGACAAGTCCTTTATGCCACACAGGTTTTGCAACACTTAGTTATTCCAAGTGCAAAGCGGTTGGACCCTAGGTATACCAAGCGTTCGAGGTTTTCCTAGCCAAAAAGATTTGGCTGGCTAAATTTTGACGGGCTTTCCTGGCCAAATGGATTTGGCTGGTCAAATTGTGACGGGTTTTCCGTCTCCAACTCATTCCTGCAAGGCCCCATTGATCGAGCTTGGCCAGGCGCAAGGCACTGAAGCTTCGGGCGCACATTGCACCTACAAGCTTCAGGTGTTTGCATCCGACTATCTTCCAATCCAAGATCGTTGAGCCTCCGCTCCTGAGCACCAATACAAGATAAATAAGTGTCAAACCGGGAAAGTTTCACACGTCCAAGCGGGGCATATTGAGCCACCAGTATATTAAGCGCAGTGGTTGGTGCTTCCAGCTGGCTCAGGCAACCCTCGGGGCCGCACAGACCTACATCAACACATGACTCCGCAGAGGGTCGAGAAAGATCTGGCAAATAGTGTGAAGTACGAGTTGGACCTATTGAGGTTGCAATGTCCCGGTCAAAGTCAAGCCTGTATTTTTGCAGCTCCGACAGGTCCACGTTCTCCATCCAAGTGCTTTAAAAATCTTGAAGCGAAAGCTCTATCAAAGTGTGGCGCAAAACTTTTGAAATAGTGGTGCTTGGCTGTGGCTCCAGAAGCGGTGGATGATGTTCGTGGTTGTGAGGAAGGAGATGGTCTCTGCGGACTCTTCACATGTAACGTCTCCATCATCATCATCCACGCTGGCATGGCTGCCCACTACGAAGGAATCTAAATTCTTGAAGTTCCATGACTGTATATATGTCAGTCTTGCGTGTATCAAGGGCATGTGGATGTTGCCTCATTCTTAGAGCTCTCTGCTCCCAAGCAGGACCAAATAAACTACATGGCTATGTTACATGCTTTTAACGGAGCCAGCAAGAAACTTGACAACAAGGTACTATTCCGAATCAAACACCCACTTGCTATTTGGAAGACACCCGGCTCAAGCTAGATGAGCTTCATAGGGGAATTAAACTCGCCTTAAGCAAAAGCAGGTTTGGCAAACAACTAATTTATTCAACCACTGCGGTATTTCTGCATGTTTGAACCAGGCTCGACTTAGATCGTAAACAGCTTGAGGTATCAGTCTGAGTGATTCCACCGACGGGCCACATCTGAAACCAACTAAGTCTGAGACTTCAACCCTCAACCGCTAGAAGCGGAGCGGGCCCCGCCCCCCTGCGCGAGCGAGCCCCGCTCCCCTGCGAAGTGGGCCCCACTTGCTCAGTGAGCGGGGCCCGCGGCTCCGTAGAAGGCGCTGCAAGCGTCGTAGTAGTAGTAGTAGTAGTAGTAGTAGTAGTAGTAGTAGTGGTGGTGGTGGTGGTGGTAGTGGTACTAGTAGTAGTAGTAGTAGCAGGAGTAGTAGTAGTAGTAGTAGTAGTAGTAGCAGTAGCAGTAGCAGTAGTAGTAGTCGTAGTGGTAGTGGTAGTGGTAGTGGTAGTAGTAGCAGTCGTCGTCGTAGTGGTAGTGGTGGCGGTAGGAGTAGGAGTAGGAGTAGGAGTAGGAGTAGGAGTAGTCGTCGTGGTAGTAGTAGTCGTCGTAGTAGTAGTGGTAGGAGAAGAAGTAGTGGTAGTAGTAGAAGTAGAAGTAGTAGTAGTAGTAGTAGTAGTAGTAGTTGTTGTTGTTGTTGCTGTAGTTGTAGTAGTGGTAGTAGTAGTAGTAGTTGTTGTTGTTGTTGTTGCTGTTGGTGTGCTAGTAGTAGTTGTAGTAGTATCAGTAGGACTATAGTAGCGCTGGTACGAATACTACAAGCGGAGAGGGCCCCGCTCCCCTGCGCGAGCTTGGCCATAGTCCCAAGATGCACTGCAATCTTTCAAGGACTATGGCGGACATTATCTTTTGGAAAGGCCAGCTTTTGTGTGACTGCTGCAAGCTCAGCAGGAGTCAGGTGATTCCATCTCTTTCAAGCAACGAGGGAAGACGCAGCAAAAAAGAGCTGGTGTGGATGTGGGATTCTTCGTTTTGGGAGACAACATTGGGCTTGCGTTGTCTCACTGATTCATCGGGCCAACATGATACTTTGGTGAAGGTCAACTCTGTGAGGGCTCAGGGCTCTCAGGGTTCTGTCAGACCTTGTTCTTTTTTCCGGGAATGGTTGAATGATGAAGTGGGAAGGTGGGAATGAAGTGGGAAGGTGGGAACAGGTGCCTTGATAGGGCATATGTTCTTGCGTGATCAAAGTCGGTTGTGACAGGTTTCTTTTTGATTCAAACGTTTGACCCCTTCCTTCTACTGAAATCCAAACAAATCCAATACTAAAGTTGTTGATTCTATTGATTTTTGTTGACATTGGTTTTCTTGTTTTTACTTTCTAAGTTAAACTAAGTATTCTGGAGCACTTTTTGTATTGTTTTTCAAGATAGCGTCAGCTATTGGGGTTCTTACTCCAAGTATAGGAAGAGCTGCGTGCGTGCGTTTGCGAGCTTGGGTGCTATTGCCGCTGCAGGGTCCCGCTGCTGTGTGCGCTTGGGAGCTTTTGTGCAGGGTGCTGCTGCTGCCGTGCGCTTGGGAGTGCTGGTGGTGCTGCTGCGGGAACGGTCATTTTCCTGGCGCAATTCCCTACATAGCGTGAGCTATTGGGTTTCCTATTTGAAGTATAGGAAGAGCTCGGTGGCGCCGCTCCTGTGTGCGCATTGGGGCCGCTGCGCCCCCCGCTGGCGCCGTTGCTGCTGGTGCTGCTTTTTTTTTGCTATCTAGGGTCTATGCTGGCATATTGGACTGTCTGGATCACTCCAATGAGGACTTGTTGGTCCAGGCAGAACGAGACAAACAGCTCAAGCCAAGTGATGCCCACACCGTCAATGTCAGAAGGCCACTGCAGTTTGCACAACCATTGCCAAACATGTCTGGCCACTTGACGTCCCCAGCAGCAACCATCCCATGGGCCGGTGAGGGTGTGGCATGCATGGACCAGGCAAGGAGAGTCTGGAATGCCGAAGGGTGAGCAGGCGCCTCCCCACCCACCTGTTTCAACTCTTAACTGGGTTTGCCGCTCAAGTTGGAGTTCCGCAACGAAGTGCAACAAATTTTCAAATGCGCGCCTTTGACCTCGAACCTCCTGCATTTGCTGCAGAAGCTCAACATTGACAGGGTCCATGGAGTCCAAACGACGTTTCTGTGCCCAGTCATTGACAAGCTGGTTGCCAAGTACATGGTGGCGGAGCAACGGGTCTGGTACATGTTCTGGAGCCTGATGGGCTTTGATTTATTGCAATCGAACTTGATGCAGGCCCTGGGCCTGTTGCAGGCGACGAACCAAGTCTAAGTTGAAGCTTGAAGACAGCGTGGATGGCATTTTGACAGTCCGAATACAAATCCACATTGGAGAATTGCTCGCACACTTTTGACAATGGGATGTAATTCGGCTCGATGGATGGATTGCTCACCTGGGCATGGTGAGGTCCACACTTGAACTATAGGGACTGTGGCATTGTTCGAGTCGAAAGCCAAAGGTTGGTTGGCCTGCCAGATTCTCTGAGGATGCCGCCGTGGTGAATGGCATCTGTTCAGGGCATTGGCAACTTCCATCCGAATAGAAGCCTACCCTAGACCGGGATTGGGCAACATGTTGGCGCACGAACACCGGCATGTCAGGCTCAGGAAGGTTATGAACTAAAGCCTGGGCGAGGCCATGGAGTCGAGGAACCATGATACCTGCCGTCTCATACCACTCACCCTCAGCAATCACATCGAAATCACATCGGTGGCAAAACGGTCACGCACTGCTTGAGTGGCAGGGCATTCAAGCAGCCGGCGACGTCTGGAATCGGCAAACTGGCAGAGCTCACACTGCTCAGTGACCTGTGAGTCCCACTTGCTTTGCTGCTGTTTGGTTTGGTATCCACCAGCCAGCTCACGAACTAACCGAAGGTGCGTGGCTCCAGGAAACTTCTGCAGGATGCGAACCGTAAGGCGGTGTGAGCAGTCTGGGAAGCCCGTGAGGTTCTTCCTTTGAGTGTTATGCAACAGAAAATCTTCCTCCCATGAATACCGTGCAAAACGTTGCAACTTGGCAAACGAATCTGTAAGCAAAAAAGTGGGACGAGGTGGGAAGTGGTCAAAGTGCCATCTCTACCAATCCCCCATCCCAGGCGCAACAGGTTGGCCTTAAGGGCCGAGGCCGGACCACGAACCTGACTGGTTTTGCCTGAGAAAGTAGCTGCTACTGACAGAAACTCAGCTTGCTCCTCTGGTGTGCACTTAACCAAGAACCTCTGTGCCGTTTTGATGGCAAGAAGAACTGCATAAAGGACAGGGTCCAGAAGATTTTCATCCAGAAGCTGGAATGCTATGGCCGAACTCATACTGGGGATCTTGTGGAAGACAGCCTGGACTATCTGATTAGGAAGGGTCTCCAGCTGAAGGGGGGGCGATCAAACCAACCTCTGTGACATGAAATGCAACTGGGTACACACTGGCTCGAACCTGATGTACCTTGTCGGACAGCGAGCAGGACCACTCTATTCGCCTCAGCCTGTTGATGGCCTCGGTTTCACGATCAACGAGCATGCTGGAGCCGGCTCGTCCCTACCATGGGGGTACCCAGGTCTTTAGCTTTCATCACTGTCTGGAGTCGGATGGGCCACGGATTGGCCTGCAGAGCCCGGGTCAGCAAGGCTACCCCTTGAACGGATGTAGCCCACTGCCAAGTCTTACTATGGTCGATTTCAAGGCCAAGGCACAATGCAATGCGGTGTGTGGCACGAAAGAGCTCAACATGAATCTGATGGTCATTGGTTTGCCAGGACCAATTATCAGCATATGCACTGATGAACCGTCTAATGGATGGGACTATTGGGGCAATGACTTGACGGAGTTCGTTAGCCCATGTCCAAGCGATTCGCTCAGTAGATACAGCCGTGAAGATTGTGGGAAGTGCCAACCTGTTGTCCAACGCGAAAGCTCCCTTGTAGAGGAGACTCGTCTTCGACAAACTGGTGTTTCCAAGGATAGCACCGTTCAAATCGATTCCCAGCTTTGTAATGCCACTTTTTGCAACCAGAGCTTGCTTTAATTTCTGGGAGAACTGCGGAACTGCGTAGTAGTTAGCAGAATGATCCCAGCCTGAGCCGGATGACGATACACCGCCGCAATGAAATTGTCAATGGACGGTAAGTCACCAACCAAAGTCCCAATGAAAGCATCTGCTCCATTTGGGAGGGGCTCAGTGTAGGCGTAATGAAATGTAGCAAAACGCCTTTGTAATGCCGCTTCACCTGCACGCCCTGCGCCGAAGCACATGGCAATGATTAAAGTGACAGCCGCTGCAAAGTCGGCTCCGATGAACCACAAAAGGATCAGCAACTGCACTTCAACCTCTGTGAGGTGAGTTTCAGCAAAACCAGCATACGATGCAGCAAACTGAAGACATCCGTCATAAGTCTGCACCGTAGAATCGAACACGGTCCCAGCAACCCTTGGATCAGCTGCGTTTTGGAACCGAGGGAAATTGTACCAAGGACAGGTGCGATTTCCAAGCGTGTCCTGACTGGTGCCAATCACCCTCAAGCCCCAACTGTTGACCTGAGTCATTGAAACTCGAGCATTGTGAAAGGCAGTTGCATAGTCACCCTTCTCGGTAGCCGTAGGATAGCCAGTGTGGTCACCTGCAACGAACTCCATCGTCTGCAAAGTCACATCAGATGCATATTGATGTGCCATGGCTGCGATGATTGCAAGGTAATCCATCATTGCATAGACGAACGGGATTGTCCTGTTCACTCCGAACTTGGCCGAGGAAACCATGGCACTCAGAATGGCCGAGAAAGCGTTCCGACCATATTGTGTGAGCGCCACCGGAAAGTACTCGCTGATGTTGTTCTTCAACAACACAGCAGCCAATCCATGGTTCTTGGCATCAAAGTCTGGCAAACCATCTTCCGCTCGACGCTTGAGAGTTCGCGCCTTTTGAGCGGCCTCAACCGCTGCTGCTTCATCTGCCGATGTCTTCACTCCGGCCATTGTGCGCAAGGCATCAGTGGCGCCAGCAAGTCCTTGCTTCCCTTTGCCCTTAGGCGGGGGAGGAGGAGCAGACATTGCGTAAGATGCGACAGAAGGAGCGTCGATGACAACAAATCGCTCTTGTCGAGACAACTTGACCCACATTCGACTTGAGCCAAAATGGCTACGACAAAAACTGCCAGATGTGAATCATGCACTGGTATCCACCCTGGGCCCCAGCATCCTGCACTCCTGCACCCACCTCATGCACACACACCACCAGAAGTCGTCGCCACCTTCATGGTGTGGCCGAAGGCAGTCTTGGAGGGTGGAGTGAGGGACTAAGTGGTACTCGTCGTAGCTCTACCCACGGAAGAAGTGACAGCCAAGTTTCAGCTTTCGCATCTGCGATGCATGCCTTGGCACTCCGGAGAATGATGTCCGCATGTCCGATTCGATAGTCATACTGATGCATATGAAGTAAAAGCGATAAACACACATATATATATAATATATATATAACTGTGGGATGTGGTGGTTGATCAACAGGTTCTTTTACATAAAAAGAACCCTTACATGTGTTAAAATATCATAGACGATCGATGCTGATCCAAGTCATCAGAAAATTTGGATTGCTCAAGGCTTGAGTGCATATCGGTGTTGTCTAAAAAAGATAATCTAAGACAGGTTCCTTTGGTATCCTTGTGTCAACACAATGACCGGTTGTCTTTGGGTCTCCTGCTCTAAATAGCTATCGCCATGCCACAGAAACAATCCCTTGCTCTGAATGTCAATTCCATCTATGTGGGGGCCGCCTGACTAAAAAGGAATGGCAACAAAGGCACGGTAGCTGTGTCTCCTCTACAGAGCCTAAACGCATGTAAGCCAATATGGCCTAAGTTCACCACCAAAAACCGCCAAATGTAAATGCAGGCCATGCTTGAATACATGGAGCGAGGAAATTGAGGTTATTCTCTGGTTTCCACTGCTTCTCAGCTACCATCCAGGCTGGAAATGAACCATCCCAGTTGACCAACTCCGCCGAACAATAACAAATACTGGTCGGGAGAAGAACATCCATCCAGGCTTGGCTTGCAACAGGACTCAGCTCGAACTCAAGATCCTTTTACTCGCTTATATCATATATCCAACCGGGGACTCCGAACAAAGCAACCAACTGCGTGTGAAGGCTCCCTTGGCGCTTGTCCGGCCTAAAGGCATTCCAAAGGCGGACCTGCGGTGTCGAGTCTCATCTCGTGTCGTCCTGTGCCCGCCGACCACGTGGTTCGCCGGAACCCGGCCACGGGTGATCGCGGAACGGCGCTCGGTGCTAAGGTGCCGCGGTAAAGGTGCTCTTCAGATTGATCTTCAGATCTCTGAAGTGCGCACCTTGCGATCCGATCCGTGCGGGGATCCGTGCGTATACCGTGCGAGGATCCGCTGCAGGTTAAGCGATCGATGGCGTATACAAGGTGTTGGCAAAGAAGAGCGAGTCAGACGGGCGGTTTCAGGTTTGCGGAACACATATCCACGTGGAAACAAACACCAAGGCCGGGAGAGTCTAGATTGATTGATGGTCCACATTGACTTGGGTGGTTTTAGTGATTCAATTATGGGTCTTCATAGCTACGCCTTTTCAATCCAAACTGTTTTTCAATCAAACGCCAACTATTTTGTCTTGAAGCCCCTTTTGCATTGAAATGTCTTTTTATGCTAAGTCAGTGTTTTAAAACATCGAAACGGCGTTTTTGACGGCAAACGACTGAAACTTGTGTAATTTGTGTTGTTTCGCCAAACAGCCAAACAGCAGAAAAGATACACCCGTGGAAGGTCCAGGTAAGATACTATAAGTATGATATTATATGATGTTCATGTGGTCCGAAGGGCGAAGGGATACCTCATTGACTGTTGCTTTGAGGCGGCAAGCGCCAGGTACAGGTCGATTTCTTCACGGATTTTCAGGGTCTGTTCCTCTGTTTATGTGCTGCTTGCATCAGTTTGCCACTTTGACGGTTCTCGCAAACATGCCGACTTCCCATCAGCATTCCCCTCCCCCATTCTCAACCTGATGCGGCGATTGGCACAAAAAGGACTTTGCCTTAGGACTTAGCCATGCACAACCCCCGTCATTGGGCCGGATAGGCATGACGGGGACGACCAAGGCACTGATGCCCGACGCACGAATGCATAGGACCTCCTCGTCCACTGCATTGAGCTCGTTTAAGGTGACATGTACCTGGAAATGTGGGACATGCATTCATTATACATGTAGAAATACGCAAGCACGCAAAGCTTGGTCACCCTCGAAAATTCATATTGCTAAGCTAGCTATGTATATATATATATATAGCAATAAAATGCTATATATGGAGCTACAGGATTTGTTTGCTCACCTCAACGACCCTTGTGACAACTCACGTCACCTTCGGGAAGCGACTCCCATTTGACACAGCAAAAAGGGCGTGCCGAGGCCGAGAGACTTCCGCCTTCCGATGTTTGAAGCGTGGAGAACATGGGCTTTCTGCTTTTGAGTCTATCCCGAACGGGCTGGAAGGTCGAACCTGAGAAGGTGGGACTGGGGTGGGTGCGAAGGAGGGTCCAAATACCTTCTGAGGAGGTACGACTGGAGCCCTAGCATATAGTTTCACTAGGGCCACTAGGTGAATCTTGGCTGATAGAGGGTGCATGTGGGTTGCCTGGAACCCTCACAACCAGCCCACACCATTAGGATCAGGGGAGCTAGCTTGTGTGCATTGAGAAACCTGTCGCACACAATCCCTAGGGCTTCAAGTACTTGGACCCCCAATCCCAGCCCAAACACCTTCTCAGAAGGTAAGCCCTTCCCGGGAATGGGTGAGATGATTCCTCGTTGGGAGGCCCATCGAGTGGAGAATGGCGCTCGGAACAACCACTGAGAACCTTCATCACCATGCCGAGTGTCTGGGAAACACATCACGTTTGCCACAATTTCTCCGATATCATGTGAAGGGATACGTTCGCGCACGTTGCGCACGTTTATGTATAATATATAATATACAACAGAATAGTTTAATATGAATTGGATGTGTTACATCATTGGCCTGGTGGTTACAATCACAGTGGGCCCAGTAGCGTTCCTACTGCACGTGTTCTGTCCACCCAAACCCACCGAGTCGGTCACCATGGCGGCGCCACGGCCAAGCCGTGCCCCACGCCACGGACGTCGACGTGGATCCCGTGTCCCGTTTGACCCCTCCCCCGTTAGAACGGGCTCCAGTCGTACCTTGAGAAAGTGGGACTGGGGTGGGTGCGAGGGTGCATAGCGAACCTGAGGATGGAACGACTGACCGGAGCTCTATCGGGCCCTCCGCATGGGGATCTTCCAAACGCACCGATTCCGATCCAAAGGCATTGGGTTCCGAATCGATATCCGAACACAAAGGAATCTGTGATGTTTATGAGGGTTGCTGGAATTGACCCAATTGTTGGAACGGATTCCCAAAATCAATCATTAAATCAGAGATGGTTCCTCCCTGTCCAATCTGCTCGCGGGTCAACCAGGGGGGCATGTTGTCCTTTTCGACTCAACTCTTGGTACTCTATGGTCCACCGACCACCGATCAAACATACCACGGGCGCACGTCTTCTTTTCGAAAGGAGAAGTCGGAGAAGTTGATGTTGCTGATCTCCCAATCGCAGTCATTCTCATTGCCATTGACCTGTGCTGTGGTTCTTTGGTGGTTCTTTTCAACGGAGTGCAAAACGGCCCCGGCGACGTGCGGATGGCGAGTGCAACGGCCAAGGAATCTGAAAAGAGCTGGTCTAGACTGGCTGGCCGAGGTCTGAGCCGAGGTCTGAGGTCTGATCGTGTCACCTCAATTCAGTGACCTTTTTCTTCTGGTGGAAATACCTAAGTGGTTTCACCAAACACGAAGAACGCGAGTGTAGAAGTCGATTCGATGAGTTACAACTCGTAAGTCTGGAGCGCCCCGATTCCATGAGTTCTACACCCACCGAAAAGACATACCCAAGCCGCCGTCAAGCTGCGAGTCCTGAATGGTAGGAGTGGTCAGTTACTTTTTCTGAAGCAAAACGGATTCAGTTCTGAGAGACTTAAGTCGCTCAAGTGGTTTTGATCCCCTTAAAGGTGGCCCCAAAAAGAAAAACCACCCTACCAGCGTTTTCAATCGACATCTGTCCTACCCACACGGGACAGGCTGGCCGCGCCGGCTCGGGTCGCGCCTGGTCAATGTGGATGGATGGCAAGATCTTGAGGATCAAATCCAAACAAGTGTCCTGTCCGTTTGAGGATCAAACGCACGGGTTCCATGTGACATGTGTATGTCTATGATTGTCTATGTGTTTTAGACTTGACCTTTCGAAAGGTGTGCAAAAGCGTTTTGTTGTGCCCACAGTGCCCACTTTGAATTGAAGAATATGCAGAATACCTGACTAAGATTGGCCCGAAATCGTCTTCTTTCGCCGATGGAGAAACTGATTTGCTTACTTAGCATGTCTTCTCTGCTTCATCGAGTTCCTTTATTTTGAGGACACAACAAGACCAATTAGCTTGAACATGCTGGAACGGATGGGGAGAATCCTTTCTTACCCAGAAAAAGACTTTAAGAAATCCACCTTGGGCCACAATGAAAGGCTTGGAAGACCTGCGACAAGCAAAATCAATCAACATCATACTTCAAAACATGTTAAATTGATCCGACGCCTCGTGACATACAGTGACATATCGTCAGGCATGGAGGCAAGATCATGCTTGGTCATGGACACCCCAAGAATATGCAAGAATCATATATACAGACATGGCCTTTTACTATTGGTTTATTGATTAATAGATATTAATAGAGGGGAAACACCCAAGTGTACAACGAATCGGAGTATGGTACCTAACACTGACCCCTCTATTCTTGCCAAGTACGGACATCATTGAGAATCAAAGAAATCCTTGAGATCGGACATTTTCCCGGGGCTAGAAACAGGGAGGTGGCAAAGATAGCTACTGTAAGAGTTTTTTACGGGTGTGTCCCACTACCAGTAACAGTAGGTTAAACATACGTCTTATTTGAGAAAGGCCAAGCAGGAAACCACGACCCCTTCCCGCCCACACGTCGGTCTCTTCGTGTGAAGGAACGGAACATGCCAGTTACATGGCAAGGGTGCTAACCTTAGCAATGCCGGTCTGTCGTGTTAGGCGAAGCGTTGTTTGCATTGCTTTACAAATGTCCAGCCCGAATCATGGCTGTGTATGCACCGTAACATTTGGGCAATACTGAAGCTGTTCCGGGGGGAAACATGCACTGGCCTTGACACCATGATGTCAAAAGTGCCGGCACTGGCCGTATCACAAAGTCATCCTCAAGTGACAATGCCAACACTTTCACACAAAAAAGACACACTTTTCTTCATGCACCTGTCAAAACACCGGACTTTGACCCTCTTTCACCTCTCGAAACCTTGGATCTTTGGAACTTTGGACCCCTTTGACCCACCCGACGACGGCCTCATGTCGTGTGAAGGAGTCGTCCCGCCCCGCCCCGACCGGACGGAACCGCATCGAGGACGTGGTCCTTCAAATGGTTCACCAATGCTTCTCGGGCTTCCAGATTCGACAAAGCTTCTTCAGCGGTCGAGAGCACCTCCAGAACTGGCCCGGTGGGTTGGTGGCTGTCTGGCTCGGTGGGTGGCTGTCTGTAGGGCACCACCTGGTACTATCTGTGGTACTGTAATGATATATTGACGAAAACCTGCGGGTGCCTGGGTCTACTACTTGGAGCAACATCCATGGAGAGAAAACCACGTATTTCTGAAGATGTTGCATTATTTGGGCTTTGTGGTGCCAGAAAGTCTACTTTTTAGGTAGGAATTCTGCCCTGGCCGGCTAAGCCATCGACCCCCCATGACAATTAGTGAAAGGGCCACAAAACGGCCTTGTTTCGTTTGTGTTGCAGTAAACAACAAGAAACAAACCATATACGCATCATACTTGGTCCTTCCCACACATGAGCGACGAAGAAAGTCTGCTGCGCGCTGCGTCTTCTCCGCTTTACAGACCCAGCCTTTTCAGGATCAAAGTTGCGAATGCTTTTCAGCACTTCACGCTCTATCTCCTGGTGGAAGTGCGGCTGCAGGGAGCTTGCTTGCTTTTCATGGGGGCTATGTTCAAAGGCCCGCTGGATTCTGAAACTTTGCCCCGAAACCCTACAGCTTAAGAGCAACAAAGCCCGTGCTTGAAACATGACAAGTTGTGTTTCCGTGGGGAATCAAGGTTGCCAAATCCAACTCCGTGGGAATATGAAGAGAACTGGTGCATGGACACATCTGCGGGGACGTCAGAAAAGCTGTTTCCCTCACAGGACGGAGATGGACAGAATCAACTCGGCCGCCTGGGCCTGTCACAACATGTAGACTATTCGGGACAACACCCGAGCAAAAGATCGTTTGAAGATGATTGAAGATAATAATGTATAGACTATTGATATCATATATTCATATTTAGTTATATGTAGTAGTGTGAAGATGATTGAAGATAATAATGTATAGACTTTTGATATCATATCTTTACCTATATGTCAGATTATGTCAGACCCCAATCCGAATGGGGCGGTTTATTGATCACGAGTCTACATTATTGAGCCCCTCTTTCAGAAGAACATCGGCCTATCCTATCCCAAGATAGAACCAGCAAAAAACATTGGGATGTCTGAGCACCATGCCCCTCCATGCCCCTCATGTGACGACTCGCCGCATGGGCTTCTTTTGCTCGGGAAACAACGTCGTTGATCATGGGCGAACCCGTTGGCAAGGCCCAAGGCATTTCTTCAGCGGGCACTTCCACCGGTCGACCCAGAAACGCGGTGGCCTGTTCCCCCAATCCGACTCGCGCTGCACAGCGTTTGCCTACATTGACCTACTCGCTGGAACCTATACCTTGGGTATATCTAGTATGACCTTTGCATGAACCTATACCTTGGGATACCTTGAATATCTACTAGTATATCCCAAACACGTCAATGATGACGGGGCCTGGTTGGAGGCCGACATCTATAAGAATGGTGATGTTCTTGTTTACCGACTGTTTTAGGTTTACTGGGACACCCCCAACTTATACCTCAATGTTGGTCAATAAGCTAATCCCCAAGTAGGATCTTCGAGAAAACACTCCCACACTACCGCACCTCACTTTGAAGCTGCTCTACGACCCGAGCCACTGCCTGGCGCATGCTGGCAAAGGAAGAAAACATGGAAAATGGCGGAACCAAAGAACACATGTTCCATCGAATTCAAGCACCTTCCAACAGGTCGAAGTGGAGGTTGTACTGGAGACTTCAATGTTGCAGGTGGTGACCTGTGAGGGTCCTGGTTTACACAAATGTGTCCCTTCACTCTGGAAATGTGCAAGACAACTCCCAAACCCATCCAAACCCTCATATGCAAGAACGTTGTTTCTTCAACAACTGGGAGAAAGCTTATCGCATCTTCCAAAAGAAAAGGGTACAGTATTTGATTGGACCACCAATTGAGGATCTTGTGCCATCAAAACTTTCTAAGACGCCCAAAGCTGACTTTGAAGAGTTTACGTTGAAGAAGCTAATAGAGATAAGACCAAACAGTGAAATTCACACCCCTTTCAAACCACACCCACTGACTGCAAATCATGATATGTTTGAGATGTTCATTTCTTCATCCTTTCTGTTTCTGGACGAGGATCGACTCAACATAACAGGACTAATTGAACGCCCACATTACATCCCACCAAAACTGCTCATGACTATCGGCTAGTGGCCCAATATTCATTTCTTTGAAACACTCAGGATTCGATCATCTTGTACACTGCGCTCTCTTTCTCGTGACACGGACTCCACTTCTGATCAAGCATATTATACCCTGTCTAAAACAAGCCACAGCATAGAACATGTACATAAAACTGACAGCCAGGTATGTTCGCAAGAAACATGCTCCTCTGCAATTGACATCCCTCCTCAGTTGCTCACTTCCCCCCAAACCTGGCCAGCATTTAAACATTTTGCTGTTGTCCCACAATCCAAAGCGACATCAGAGCCTGAAAATCATGAAAATGCCCCACTTGGTTGAGCTACTATACAAACTTCTGGTGTTCACTGGGCCAATGTATGTGTCTCCACAACTGCCTCAGCGTCGTGTGCAGTTCCCTGCACGCTCCGAAAGAACCACACGCACACACGCCCCGCACGCGGCTTCCCTCCGGCGGTGGCGACCGTGGTGGCCTGGTTCTCGCCGAGCTCCTGTAACTTGGCAACCATCATCTCACCGTGCTCCACCAATCCTGTGGCACCCTTCACCACGACCTCATCATCCAAACCTCGGATGTGTGGTGTCTCACTGGGGTGCAGACAAAGGCACATCCGGTGAACAACTCAAAAAACGCGCACCGGTTCAAACCAACATGACATATATTGTTCAATCAATTCAATTCAATTGTTCATACCAAACCTTGTTCGATGTATCTCACCCGACTCAATCCATCCCAAGCTGAGATGATCCCCGCTCGATTGACGAGTCAATAGCGACTCGATTGACGAGTCGATGTCCAATGCAAAAGCGGCCACCCTCAACTCAACCACCAAGCGCTGAACACGAACATGTGCGAAGCAAGCAGCTGCTTTTGAGAGCTGCTTTCCAGGTCTCCACATCTTCGACGCGTCCCTCCGCTTGGGCCTGGCCAAACATCAGGACTGACCCTTTCACTCTCAAAGCATACCAGAACAGTGTCCCCAGTGTCCATGGTTGGAACCAATGGGGAAATCACCATGGTTTCACCAATTAGAAGTTAACAGCTGTCCAACTTGTCACTGCACATGTTTTTTAACGTAATGAAAAGCATATCCCACTCAAAATGTTTTTGGACACCTCTATATGACTATATATGGAGACCACAACAATATACGTTGACCCCGACCTTCCGCGGCTACCCCTAGTCCCTGGCTGCCTGGGCTCGCTCTGCCGTTGTGCTCCCAAGACAAAAATTAGCGATACAGAACGGCAGAAAAGGAGGACACATGAGGAAAACTTTCACCACCTACATACCCATGGACCATCATGGACCCATGATCCACCCTTGTTTTTGGTGGGGGGGGGGGGGCTTTAATGGAACGGTCCTTTTGATCTATTTCCAAAGCATCGGTCACCCCACCGACGTCGATCCCGGCGACATGACTTCTGGTGGCCTTCAAGAGTTGGTGTAAAGCGCTGGGTATTTCGATGCCCAGGTCCGTCAGCAAACTGAGCAACGAACCACTGCCATCTTGCAAGGCCTTGAGTCGGCGAAGGAAGCCATCGTGCAGCTGAAAAATTGGCGATCAGGAGGAACCTGGAAACACACCCATATTCACCAGGCTTGGGAATTTACCGTCTGTATGGGACAATAAGGAAACATCACCTGGCTTTGCTCAAACCAGGCAGTTTTGTTGGTGCCCCGTGGCTGGCATCCCCGTGGCATCCCGTGGGCATATGGAACCGGTTTTCAAGCTGAAGGACAACAAGCGGAGCCCGAGTTGTTCCGTAGGAGTTCAGGTGGTCCATGGCTGTTAGATTCTGTAGGTAACCAAAGTACTTTGGAACTAACCAATCCTCTGGGGTCACCCAGTGCTCAAGTACCAAAGGAAAAACCATTCAAAGAACTGCAGTCCTCCTGTTGATAGAAGAACTCCTGCACCATCTGTGATGGACCTCCAAGTATATTAGAAGGGTTTTGTGATGTTTTGTGCATCCCAGCTAGAGTGGGATTTTTCTGGATCCGAACTGCTCACACTCACACCCGCCATCTACTCCCAAAAAACTCTCGCGACTTGCCAAGTGACTGGAATACTACTGAAGGATGCAGAGCCTCAACTCAGCAGTGGGAAACGACAATCATCTGATCCAGTCAATGCCTGGAATGCGTTTCTCCATAGTTTTTGTGTTTGGACCGGTGGTGAAAAAAAAGGATTGAAAGACGAGAATCTACATCAAATGCTGAGCCACCCACAAAACACCAAGGTTTCAGTTCTAACTAAGGCTGCAAAGCTACTGACTTCTCTGAAGCAAATCAGGGCTCAACCTCCATTTGTGGAGCGTCCCTAGGAGAACTTCTGGGGCAAATTGTGGAATGGATCAGTGCAAGCCAGGTTAGGCAAGAGCGTCAAATGCCTCAAGTCAATGCCTCAAGCAACCTCCAATGCCGTCTGGTGCCTGGATCATTCTGGATCCAAGAAAACCAGACCCATCAACCTCCAAAAGTGAACAGCTCCGAGTCGTTACCGTCTCGATCTCTCCCAGTTCCAAAGGCATTTCACTCCCGGCCCCGGTCATCGGCCCCAGCTCCGGTCAGCACGGGAAGACAGTCCAGTCCGATGTCTTCTCTTGATCAAGGAAGTTTAGCAGCGCGATTTATTAATATTGTTCATGCAATCTTGCAACGCTGGGTGTGTGTGCATCATTGAAATGTCTCATGTCATATTCAAACCGCATCCAGTGTCAGCCTGTCTGCCTTCATCCACATGGCACAGCCAACCCCCTTAACCAACCCTTCTCCCTGTCTACCTCCTTCGTCCGTCTCTGTCTACCTCCTTCGTCTCTGCGCCGCCTTCGAAGCAATCCAGCAATTCGGTTCCAGTGAGATCCAAACCCGAGGCGGACATCGCATCCCTGAGGATCAGGTGATGAGGAAAAACGGTGGATCAAGGATCCCATGGGATCCCCACACCTTTGTCGGACATTTTCCCAGTTTGTATGGGGAGTGCAACTGGGAGTGCACTTCGCCCACCAGGCAAAGAACTAGAAAGGTTCACGGGTTTTCATACACTGAACATATCTGTGTTAGTAGTTTAGTTTAGTAATGTTTTTTGTAGACTTGACCCGCGTTGCTGAACTTTAATCCCGCGCCCCTAAAGGCGAATGCGTTCGTTTTTGAAGACGCACATGTCAATTTGAAGACGCGGACGCATACCTTAAGTTTTTGAGCCATGACTATCATACATTATAATGTTGCAGCATTCTGTGGTGCTCAAAGAACCCTATCTTCCACCACCGAAAGCACGTCGTGGGGTTGGTCGGCTTGATCCCTAGGGCTCCAGTCGTACCTTTTGAGAATGTGTTTGGGATGGGTTTGCGGTTTGGAGGGTCCAACGACCTGACAAAGGTACGACTGGAGCCCTAGGGGATGAATATGGTAGGAGAGCCTGCCAAAACGCCACTTTCCCAACCATAGCTTTCTAATGCTTTCTATTTCTCTTTCGATCTGTTTCTTTTGGCCCGGAGACCTCCCGAGATGCTTCAGACCAGACGACCGACTTCGACGTGAAGCAATCCGTTGGAAGTGGGAGTCCAAGACGCAAGCGATGATGAACCGATCAACCCAAGACGCACCGGGAATGGCACTTGATGATTTGAGCGGTCCCAGACGCGACCCGTCTGGGACTGCCATAGATGCCGATCAGTTGGGGTGGTTTGGGGGGCCAATGGAGGCATATATGGCAGTCCCATCTAGTGTATGGGAGTGTGTCCCTGAAAAAGGTCCCCCCAAATCCTGCAGGTGACCTGCAGATCCTGCAGATCCTTCCATGTGGGAAGGAATGTGGGAAGGAAGGCAAAACACGTAGATGGTCGACCTGAGCTCCCCTTCGACCCGCCTCCCACCATCCAGCAACATGTGGGTGTGCTTTGTAATAGGGAGACCTCCAACCAATGGGTAGACTGGTAGACTGGTCTGTTTCCTGTCTAAAACTTGGGGTGTCTTTGGGAGGTCTCCCTATAAGTTCAATACGGCCCCATGTTGCCTTTTGAGCTCCGAGCATCAAAATGGAGCTTTCTAATTGGGCCTCCAACTTGGATGTCTGATCCTCAGCAAGATGCATGTCTGGGGCGGTTTTGCCGCATCAACCTTGGTTTTATCTCTAAAATGAAAAAGGCAAGCAACAGAAACAACCGAAACTCCATGAAACGCCTAAACCCCAAAAACACACCAAGCATGCCCTCATTAGTATACTGCAAAGCCAAGTCCTGAGGCCTCAGTCCTCGTGCGGCGTCCTCTACGGATACCTGCGTATACCGCGAGTCGCCTCCTTTCACCGCGAGTCCGCAACCGCCTCGTCGCTCCACGAACGACCGCGGACGGACGATCGAGAAAAGCGCTCCGTGGACGACCACGGGGCGACCGGTCCGTGAAGAAGCACCGATTGCACCCCAGACCTCCACCCCAGATCCCATATGAGGATTCGGGTCCAGGGTGTACTCTCTGCCCTTTATCTGGCAGAAACACCAACGAATCGCGGTCTCCAAGTGGGAGTTCATGAGACATCAATCGACTCCTTCTTCGTTTCGTTCAACGCTCTATGATGCTCTATGCAACAGCCTTACAGGTGGCATGAGGAGTCGCCTGCAGTAAACAACACGCGGATCGAAAGAGATCGCAACGATCCACATACACTCCCTGGACAATGGACAGTTCTCTCCATCAGGTAGGCAAGCAAACAGCAAACCAATGAATGAATTAAGGAAAAAAACAACACCTTACATTAGGCCAAGATGCCCAAGATGCCACAAGGATCTTTCGCAAATCCTCCTCCGATTTCGCACGCCGCGCATGTTTGGATGCGTTCCCAAATCGCGGCTCAAGCAGTAAAGAGCCCACGCCAAACCGGTCAGTTCCAGCGAGTCCAAAACGCAACGATTCCACAATCGGACACCATTGGCCCATTGGTCAACCCCCAGGTACCCGGAATTGGTGTATTGATATTGTTTGTTTACTCCCGGGATGTGTCCAAACCGCAAACAAAAAGCCAACTTGCAACAGCTGAGTAAGGGGGTTGGCAACTTTCTGGCGCCTGCAACTACAAGGAGATTGATTTCATCCCTGGTCCCTAATGGACTTCATTCCCTTTGATAAGTTTGATGCCAAAATATGTAGAAACCAAAGAACCTTGTTGCGATGTGCCGCCGCAATGATGTGGATAGTAGATTACAGTACATTGGTAGATGTGCTGAGAAAAAGACAACAACCCATAACACTCCTAGCTAGATAATCCAGCTGCTGGATTTCCAAAAGGAACTCTGAGTGCTTGGTTTCTGACCAAACAGCTAGTTACGTAACATAGAACCCTTGATGAGACTCAGCAACACGGTCTGCTTCCCTCTGCAAACCCCACATTTTGGGCGGGTTGCAAAGGACAAAGGATCCCTAGTGTGGCCTTTGTTTGGAACAAAAATCCTTTAACATCCCTTAAGACCTGGGTTGGCCTTTATATTTTGTTTATATTTTCTTTATTTGGTTCGACCAGGACCCAAGAAAACATATTTGCATCCCAAAGCTTGTTTCCGATACTTTTTTATTGGAACCAAACTAGTCACCAGGCCAACACCCATGCAGGCACAAACAGTTGCAAGCAACTTCAGTTTGTATAGCAATAAACCCCTGGATTTAAGAATACCTTGCTGGGATTTGGACATCGTTTCCTGAGATTCAGAAATGCTGTCCAGATCTGTCCAGAAATTTCAAACAGTGTCTTATATTTTACTGTAGAAATAGCTTCCCAGATTTTAGAGTAGCTCCAAGGCCTCAACAAACAAATAAACCGGCCCCACTCCTAGAACATACCTCTACACTCTGGTGCTTCAAAGGCTGCTTAATGTGATCCGATTTCAGAATGTTCCTTTACTTTTGCACAAACACAAGCATCGTCGCACTGGACTTCTAGATTCGGCTAGGCCAGACTCAAAAATGCCCTCGGCATCCCTCCACTCCTGGCTGAGCGGTAAGGCTTTGAGCCCCTCGACCAACATGGCTCGATTGAAACCCAGCTGCTCGACCACCTGAGGAAGACCGGAAATTCGGACATTTGAGATGGCTCGATCCGAAAAGACTCAAGGTGAACCAAATTTTCCACCTGGATCTCCAATTTGTCCAAGAGAATTTAAGAGACTATATCTACTGACTGGGTAGGTATTAGTTTGGCAGTTTGGACACCATACTGTGCGGAAACTGTGCAAACGGCAACTGCAAGGCTGTTTTTGGAAACTATAGTTCGCAGGAGGGAGCAGTTCAAAACGATGCGGCGCCCGGTGCCCTACAAACCGTTGTTGGGAGGGGTGGAGCTGTTCCAAATATCTCTGAGTAGTCTAAGTGGCCAAGCCTGGACCGATCATTCCTTCTTCCAATGCATTCTGGGCCACCCACCCACATGCAGGGGCGACCACCCTTGGACCAACCCTTTCGGTGAGCCTGGCTTCTGAGGTTTTGAACCCACTCCTGGCAACAGCGACGACTGGTCCGGTGAAAACCGGATCCCCGTTCTTTCGGGGGAGATCATGGAGATCCGATTCTTGCCTCTTCGACCTTTTGAAACACGAAATCCCATGGAATTCCCACAAAATTGTACGTCTAGAGCACATCTATACTAGATTTCCTTGTTTTGCACTCTTTGTTGACTCCGAAGCAAAGGATTCGGAATTCACCTGCATTAAACCCTTACTGTGTACAACTCACTTCACGATGGGCCATTGCCATACGTCGACAACTTCGGGGCCAGGGTCGACACATCTCCAGGCGAGAGCGATCTGCCACCCAAGATGTTTTGTGAGGTTCGTTGATGTCTGTATTTTGGTGCGACCTGAAGTAAAGGCACCGACTTTAAACACCTGGTTGTCACTCAGAAAAATGACCGGGTCCCGTCCCAAAGCACAAAGACTTTTTTGAAACGAAAACCTTGCGAGTTGTGGACCCTTTTTGAATTCTTGTTCGCACATGCATCCACACTACCAAACTTACTTCAACATCATGTTTTGGTACTGTGCTGATCAACCGATCAACACTTGACAGCTGATCGACATGAGTTGACAGCTGGTTGCCAGTTGCCATGAATGTAATGTGGACGTGCTCGCAAACCGAACACAAAACTGCGAGAGGCGGAAGACTGCGAGAGGCGGAGGTCGGGTCTTCAGCGGGCGCGAAAATACCGAACATTACACGGACCAAAGCAACGGTAGACAAGATACAGCTCAGAAAAGCAAACAGGCCAACGATGTTCCAACAAGAATGTTTCCCGAACAAAATAATGCAATAGGATCAGATGGAGACGTCAAGATTTCAACCAGGGTGTGGATCATCATGAAGAATCATCATATGTCATCATGTTTCCCTCTGGTCCTTCTACCTCTTTCCCCTTCAGTTCTCCGAAGTCTGGCCTTGTGTGGAGATATTATTTTTCAGATCCCTGGGGCATGAAGACCCACAAACAATGCATATTCCAGCCACGCCTTCATTGGCTTCACCTCAATCACACAATCAAATGCTATATCCGGCCTGGTTGGGGAAACACAGACAATCAAAAACACAGTGATCTTTGCTCAACCCATGAACATTTTCAATGGCAGGATGGCAATGCAAGTGCGTAATCCTGTCCACCTATTAAAAAACACGGCCCCCCCTAATAAGAGAAACTCGGGGGGTCCAAAAATGTCCAAAATAGGGTCACCTGGGAAGAGCTTCAAAACCAAAAAATCATCCAGATCGAAGGGTCTTCCTTTTCCCCTACAAAAACCTTTATTAGAATACTGATTCTTCATTAGACTAACAGCCAAAGCTTTCGAAAGGTGATGTCGCTGTGCCATGCGGTTTTGCACGACCTCGGTGGCAAGTGCGTTTGCGTGAGTCCGTGCCATTGGAAGAAGGAAAGCCTGCTGGTGTAAACACGGCGTCATGGTGGATACACAGGGCGGACAGATGTGGGCAGTTACGGTTGTTTTTGGAGCCTAATAAAAGAAATCACTCCCAAAATCGACCATGTTGGTAGTTTAGTAGCGGCTTGAAAGGGCGGTAATTGAAAAACAATGAAAAACACGTATAAGCCGAATTTAGGGCTTCGGACGTGGTGTTTTTTTGGTTGGGGAGGCTTTTTAATCGGTACTCGGGATTGATTGACCATATGGCAGGATAGCAATGCAAAGGCCTGAAATGCCCAGATGAAACCATCAAAGTATGCCAAAATTACACCAACTCAAATCTGAAACAGAACTATAATTTGATTTCCATGACTCATTCAAGGCACTGCGTCAGAAACAGAGGAGGATTGTTGAGAGTCAGCTTGTTGTGGATGGCATCAAATGTGAACCGCCATTGCAAACCCACACCAGGCATGAACTCGATCGTTGTCAGACTGCTGCGCGCATGACGAAGAATGTTGCCTGACGTCCAATTTGAGACAGCTTTGTCTTTGGGAATGAAGGACCACTGTGTGCCATCAGATGTCACCTGATACCGATGGTGACCGTCAGCTTTCACTTCAGTCTTGTAGCCAGTCATGGTCAAAGGGGGTGAGGCTCTTGCTTAGCTCTTTGCGCAACACGTAGAGGGTGTTGGACTTCCTCTTGCCACTGCGTCATCTTCATCTGCTGGCACGGAGACCTGAATCAGGGCCTTGTCGCTCTCCATCCTGAACTGGACACCGTCTGAACTTTGTCACTTTGCCTGTGCCACACCCACCAAGCTTCAGGGTAAGTGTCTCATGGCGTCATTCATAGACAGAGCAGCGCATTGAAAGAACAGTTCAACTAAATACGCCAGCACGGCCGTCAGCATAGACCCAAAATACCAAAAGATCTTTGTGGGCAGCATGACACCAGCGCCCACACCCCAAATCGTGCGCTGCCGGCCATGGACATCTGGCGGCGGCACCCTGCAGCGGCCTGAAGCGACACCAGCAGCACACCAGCGCACTGTCATGGACATCTCGCAGCAACACCCTGCAAGCGGCCCCCTGCAGAACCAACATCCGAGCTCCAAAGCGCACACGGCCACTGACATAAATAAGGCCATGGCCTTGCAGCGGCACCCTGCAGCAGCACCAACACAGGCCCCAATGTGCACACTGCCAAAGCGGAACCAGCACCCAAGCTCCAAAGCGCACACGGCGATAGACCTTGGAACGGCACCCTGCAGCGGCACCAGCAAGCAGCCCACGTTGTCACGCACATCTGGCAGCTGGAGCCACAATCCAGGCCGCAAAGCGCACACGGGCCATACATACACATGCGTGCAGGGGGCTGGGAACCCTCGTCAGAAAGGATACTTTGTTCAATGGAAATGTATGGAAGGGGGCGGGGGGGCATCATATATCATCGTGTTATTGGCCAAACTTCTAACACGGAAGCTGGTCTGAGCATGGTAGCATTTAGTTTAAGGTCTATCTAGCCTTTTGTTGTGGGCATACTTTCAAGGACAATGTAATTTTTCCTGAGCTTCGTGCTTAAGCACGTGCCCAGCCGCTTGAAACACATCTCGTTTGGCCCCGCGGGCAAGCGGTCGGATATAAATCAGGTGGCTCTACCCAGAATCCCACTGCAATGTCCAAAGTGTCTGTCAGGTGGCACAGCTCGCGCGCATATCCTTTGGGATATCTGGGTTTCACAGTGTCGGACCGTAAGCCAAGAACGACATCGCGAACACTGGGAGTCGCCATGACAATACAGCTGCGGCTATCTGTTATGACACACCTGTTTGCACCCTATGACTCTACTGTAACTTCTTTCCTTCTCTAGCTGCGCACAAACACATCTCCCAACCGATGACCACTAGACCACTATTTCTACTACAACTTTTCTCTTTCTCTATTAACTTTCTTTCTGAACAACCGGTTCCCTGCCTCCGGCTTTCCAAAAGCAAGTGCATCTACTATTGAACAGGTACGCAAAGCGTGCGAACTGTTTTCATACAGCAACAAACAGGATCACACATAATTCCACTTCGCCATTGTTGGGGATAGGGATATCTACTATTAAAATTATCTACTTATTCTACTTCTATTTCCACACATGCATCTTATGAACTCATTCGCGCATGCTTTCGGTCTTTTCGAGCGTTCTACCGTACAACAGGCATGCGACGGATTGGCTTTGGCTCGATTCGACCTGCCAAAACTTTGGCTCAAGCACCTGCTGGGTGTGAAATAGCAACCTTGCTGAGAACGACCATAAGACCTTTCAACAGTCACGGTACGGGTTCACTATATCGAAAGAACATGAAAGAACCTATCCGTTCAACTTAGGGCTACCAGTAGCTGGCATTCTGGGTGGGATTAAAGTGAATGGAATTGGACAAACTTCAGAGTTCTGATCGGCACAAAAAAACAGGAATATGACCAATATGACATGCGTATGGAACATATTGTAACCAAAAAACAGAAGCCATGTAGCCATCTCATTCTCCTCTTCTCACCCACATCCTCCGTTTCGCAGTATGTAACATCACCGTTTCCCAGTCTCTCCGCCAAAAAATATCCGAAGATGTGGGTTCAAGGTTTAGAGTATTATAGATGTTTATAATGATTTTTAGATATTCAAGTATATTATAGAATATTATAGATGTCTTTCAAAAAAAATGATTCAAGAAGCTCGCAAACAGTACCACTGCATACCCCCCATTTCGCGTTTGACAAGGGACCCCGCATACCCCCATGTCACGCTCTGTCCTCGAGGTGGTTCGGCAACTTCTCGGCCAAGTGCTTCTCCACGACACCGAAGAGCTGCGAGGCCTTGCTCTTCACCTGGAGAGGAGGTCGAGCCGAGATGTGTCACGAGGATGTATGTGGGGATGTATGGGGATGTCCGAAGTGGATGGGAGCGCGACATTATTTGACATTTGGATTTGGGTGGAAGGTCCTGAACTTTGGGATTTGGGGGGTTGAAGTGTTTCGCGCTCCAAAAATTATCCGATGAGGCACACTTGCAAATGGCGTGAAGCCCCACAACTTGGGACGGTGATGGTGCCCTTTTTTCGGTGCATCTTCAAATCCGGTTGGGCGACTCTTTGTCGATTTACTCTTCCTATAGGCCACAGGACCTGAGGGTGGATCATGTAGAGATGCTTCTGATAGCTTCAAGCCGGAAATCAGCCACTCGCAATGCGCGATGGTGAAATCATATATAAACAACATGTTGGACCAGTGACTGTAAAATTCTAGTAATTTCTAGTATAGTGTCTGAAATGTTTTCTGTGCTATCTACAATACTGGTGTGGCAAACAGGTCTGGAAAACAACATGATACAATCTTCTACATTGATACAATCTTCTACAGCTACAATTAGTGTCACTACACTGAAACAAGCATCAATCTTTCACCCCATCTGATGCCAACCAATATCTACAGAACCTCTTGTGTCCAGGACCATAGCTGCACTATGCCAATACTATGATACATCTAAATGACAATCTATGCAAATGTTGTTTGACATGACGCGAGCGTGGATTGGTCAAATAGAGCTGCATCGAGAAGACTCAAACCCATGCAACATTGGACTGGCCCTGGTTTGGTATAGCATATCTAAACGAATCTCCATAAAGTTCTGTTGCAAGCGGTTTAATAAGAGTTTTTGATGAGAGACCCCATGTCTATCCATGACTAAGCCATCCAGGATTTCAACACTACTGGGTACCCTATGGATCTGCATTCCTCTTGAGCAGGTATTTGGGAGAGGTTTCGATAGCAGAATTGGATCAGTGCCCATCCGCTCGACCGGGCCTTGCGATCGGTGGCCAGGCGCATCAAGAAACGTCGGCTGCGCTCGTGCATGGCATCCAACTGCGGTGTAATTGCTGTCTCCTGTGACGTGGAAAGGAGGTTGACGGGAAAGGGCACAGTTGAAGAAGTGGGGCTGGCAACTTGCAACAGATCGGAATAGAGGGCACAAGATGGCACGAGTGAGAAGTTGGGTGGGGAAGCACAAAGATCAACATCCAGCTGACCAAAAGCAACCAAAAGCAAGTATGGAGGCTCCTCGGCTGCCCCAAAAAAATCATGAAACATCTACGTTTAAGGCAATATGACATAGAAACTGGTGGTTTCGTTGATTCCACCCTCGACTCCACTGCTGCTTCTGAAGGCGCTTCGTTGTTGATCGTTGCCCCCAAAAAACGAACCAAAGCTTAATTCGAGAAACCACGACAGGATGTGCCGTGCCTGGAGTTGAGAGAGCTGCTCTTGCAAGCGCTTTTGCCCTTGCAGCAGCACGTGGCCCGCCTGGCATTCTGGTGAGAACCCGCAGCGGCGGAGGAGGAGAATCGGACACGGCTGTGCTGGATCCAAAAGAAGCCGTGCTGGAGGGGTGAATCCAACGAAGGCAACGAAGCCGTACATCGGCGCGAGTGTGGAGAGGGCGCCATGCTTATTGTTTTAGCTCGGCGGCATTTTCTGGCAGCTCAGTTCATCTTTTTCTGAAGCTTGGCCTGTGGGATCATTCACAGATCCGAGCTGAGCTCAACTGGATAAATCTCTTCTTCAGCTTTCAGCAATCCGATGGATCCGATGTCTTCAACAGCGTCAGACCGGCTTCTGAGAGTTGATTCGTACAATATCTTACATGCACATATATGTCTCCCATTCTTCTTACACCTTCATGTCATTTTTGTTCCAAACAGCGGTTCCCAAGCCAAACTCACCTCGCTCCGATGGCGCAGGGCGCGCATTTGTCTCGCATGTCTCGGCCCAGAACCGCTAGTCGAAGTTGATTCTGCCAGCCACGCCACCACGCCATCAGCTTCCCTCTTTTAGGCCGAGAACTCAGGTCGCCGGTCATTATACTGTAGCTTCACCTCAATCATCCCGCATCGCTACTGTAGAGATGGTGCTGGCATTTAATTTGTCTCCGCCACTTTGCTTTACGCCCATATTCAACGGGTTGTGTCTCTGAGCAGCATTTGCCACAAGCAGATCCAGAATGGATAAGGGCCGCCTCAACTTCATCCTCAACTTGGGGGCGCAGGAGCTGGAAGGCATGCAACAAGGAAGAGGGTGAGACGAGATGAACCAAAATGAAGACAGGTATATGCTGAGATCGCAGGTGGTATGATAGTATGCGATGTAGACTCTTGATTAATAACCCCGCCATTGCCGGGGGATACTCTTTCATGCTTTATTGGTGTCAAACAACTTGAAGCCTTGAGCTTTGTCAAGCCACAGGAATGGGTGAGTTGGGACACTTCGTGCTCATATATATATAGTTATATATATATATATACCATGCCCCTCGCTCTTGGGCCAAGGACCCTAGCCTGCCTGCAGAATACGGTTCGACTATAAGTGTACCCTAGAAGTCCAAAGACTATGTTTGACTCCACCAAAGTAAAGGGAAATTCCTCCACCTAAAGAGCCATGTCCTTTTCTCCATGATATACAGTACAGTGATGGACTTTTTAGGGTGGATGTATACAGTACAGTGCAGTATAGTTCATTGCCTCCAATTCTCGGTGCACCGAGGCGCGGGGGTGTCACCGAGGCGCGGAGCGTGAGCTGTGTGAGCGTGAGCGGACGAAGATGCCCTTGTTACGAGTGGGAACCGGAACAGTCCCAGTGGGTGCCGGTTGAAGGTTACAAAGAAGTAGCTTACCTTGTTACTAGTGGAAATGCACCTGTTCCTAGTAGCGTCCGATCGCCTGTGGGTCAGAATGGACGAGGTAGGACGAGGAGGTCACCTGGGGATACGGGTGCAATGACCTACAGCCTCCTCAGATTTTATGTTCTTCGCCTTCGCATTTGAAATTCCAAGGAAAATCGTCTTCATCCGACTCGTTTCAAAGGGTCCATGATTGGCTGGAGAGTATTGACACATGTCTCGTTGGACACATGTTTGACATTCAACATGATTTCTATCTGATGTCCAATAGTCACACATCGCCAAAGACATCATCTGAGCAAGCTTTTTCTGCTATCTCCATTCATCAACCAACCAATTCTTGGTAAAAAGACCATAAAAGACCCACCAACCAACGAACCACCGTCTTGTTCAGCCCGCCCCGCGTTCAGCCCTCGTCTTCTCCGTTTGACACCACCGACGGCGGACCTTGGACTCAGCGAGTTCCTGCTGGATCCACTGGAGCTGCTCGCGGCCAACTGAGACCGGGCAACCGGCGCGGCGAACGGGACCTTGGACATGCCTTGTAGCTCTCAAAGGTCGTGCTTGGAAGATCTGCAGGAAATGTCTTAAAACCGAATCCCGAAATGTACAGAATCTTGGTTGGTCAAGTCTGGTTTCGCGCGAAAACGAGACCCGGATCAGTGAACCTCAAGTGAAGAATGAACTGATGAGAAAACATGAGAACCTCAGCATAACAAGAATCATTGTTGGATATAGCATCCTTGCCAACCCGAGCTGTTGGATTTACGGATGATTGTCATCTAAGCGTTCAATTTGGATCAATTTGGTGTAAAAATTGTAAAACAAGTATAGACACCACGAACTAAACACATAGTATACCTGATTTTGATATAGTTTGAAGGCGACTCGTGTTGATTTTTGGCCTCGATCCGTTGCTTTGCGCTGCGCCTAGCCGCAACATGAACCAGCTGGGTGTCCCAGGCATCGTTGCATCTCCTCCTCCAGGTTCGAAGCTAAAGCCTTCACCTCGCACTCGACCGGTACACATGACCGGTCGACCGGTCAGGGTGTTGGTCGACCCAGTGTCGACCACCAGCCGTTCTGTGGGTGTTCACATGTTTTCACCAGCGAATAGTTGATTTAAAACAACATGTCAGTGGTATGGATCTTAGTGGATGTTATATAGCAAGATGGTTGGTAAAGGCCTCTCTCAAACATATATAGTGATATTCTTTTTCAGACTGTTACTGGTAATGGAACACACTCTAGATGTCCCTCTAGGTTTGGTGCCTGTCCTACCTGCTACCACTGGGAGGCTGCACCAAATTGGACCCTTGGAGCCATGGCGGCCATTCTACGAAGCAACAAACAAAGATAATCACACCCACATTTCAAAGAACAAACCATCACATTAAGTGTTGTCTATAAATCATTGGTAACAAATGCAAGAGAAAGTCCGCTTGTTTCAAACTCTTCTTGGGATCTTCATATCTTGGGAGAGCACAGCCGCCAGCCCAGTCCACATGTGGGACTGCTGCGTACTCGTGGGGACTGCTGCGGCCGAAACACATCCTCATCGGCTGAGGCTGTCTGGGCAATCTTGCTCCTCAGCATTGGTGCGGACAGGCTGTGGGCCCGAAAAAACATCACCCCACACATCAATTGGTCAAATGTTCAGCAAATGTACCTTGCTTTTTCTTTTTGACACATTAATCATCATTAATCATATCATGTTAATTGGTTGATATTGTTTGATATTGATTAGGTTACGTTTCAAAAAGAAAACATATCATATCATGTGTTTCGTCTGTTAATTTTGTTCTGGTCTTGGTGGCAAAACACCTGGATCTGGTCACCACCCACGTCGATCGCCGATCCTTCCAGCTGGTCCGACGAGTTGGTCACCCGGAGTGGACGGGCCCCGGAGCCCGGTGGACCGGTAGACCTTGGTTGACTTGTTTCTACTAGCTTCTTGTTACTACTAGTAAGGCACCTGTTACTACTAGTAAGGCACTTGT